ATTTCTGAAAATTGGGTTAATTCTTTTACGTGTATCCATTATTCTTAAGTACCAAAAAAATCTTTTAAAATAGACTTCTTTTCTTTTGCCGAACAATGAACTTTCTATTATAATAAAATAAAAGAATACTAAACCTACTCAAAAGTCTAAAGAGGATTACATCTTTCCCCTTTTATGTTTTCCGGGCATCACGTAAAAATCACGGAATTAATTTTGATATACCTAATGTTCAGAAGATTCCTCGAATAGACAAAATTGCAATTTTATATTTATTATACTCGAATTTTCTACATACGCATAACCTCAATTGAATAATAAACACAAAGTTTAAATTGCTAAAGTATTTGAATGCTATATAGATTGATCATAACTTTTTTTAAACGTATTAACATTTATTTACTTAAGTTGTTGCGAGTCCTCACCATTGAAGATTCATAAAGGTTAATGTAAACAACCATTACCGAATTTAAAAATAAATTTCCATGATACTTAATTTGTTAGCACTCAGAAATAGACCTAATCTGTTAGATATTTACGAACTTATTGAATGTACACGCTACTCTTAATTTTTATATACGTATAACTAGCTGACTGCGCAAATGTTGTTTTACCATATAAATTGAAATCGGAATGAGAAAATAGGGGTTAGTGGTATAAGGATTAAGTTTTAGGGTTGTATGTATTTTTTAATGCCACATATAAAAAAAATTAAATTAAAAAAACTGTCGAAAATATGTTTGGGGTGAGCCACTCTTAACACTTAGGGGTATAAAAATTAGTTATAAACTATTCTCAGGCCTACTGAATATACATATGAAATTTCATTAAAATCGGTCAAGCCATTTCGGAGGAGTATAAACACGAAACCTGTGACACGAGAATTTTATATATTAGACGTGCACTCTGTGGTAAATATGAATACAGAAAAATATTATGTAATTGAATATTTGTACCTACTATTTCTGTAAAATATTCCTTAGTAGGAGTATTTGTATTAAATTGACTGTGTAGAGTCAGGTTCCCCAAGCCTTAGAAACAGTGACATATTAGGTAGGTATATATGTATATATCATGTGTTTTGTACCATCTACATGTAGTATAGATGCAATTTTTTCTGGTGAACCGTCAGCTTGTAAATATAAATTATAAATAAACATAAATTAAACGACATAGTACAACTATAAATTAAACCTTTTATTCAGATTTTTATGTACATATATAATACCCTGATTTTTCTCCTTGTCAATCTTGTATGGTTAGTCGTGGTATAGGTACATTTGTTTATAACCGATACCGCGGAAAAATTGCGCTCATTGATAAATAGCACCTCGAATATCCAATTATTTGTCAAGGCGATTCGCAATCCGTGAGGCGGCCGTCACTCCCGCATTTTGTGATACGAACCCCGGGGGACATCATGAAGATGTATGAGGATGAGAAAGGTTATCCTTTTAACCTTTGCGTTCTTCAACAATTCCTTTTTCACAAAATATAGTTAATATTATACTAAAGATTATTTTGCTGTCGATTAATCGTCCTACAATTTGCGGACATTGCCACTTAAGTGCCTTTATATATAAGAAACTAAGTTTAAAACATTTTTTTCATCCTGTCTTACCATTCAGCTCTTACTAGTATCTGAATCATACCTTAATAAATGACACGGCTTTCTACATTTTTAATAGATAAATAGTGTCACTTTTCCTTAGTTGGCGTATTTGTCATTCCAATCACACAAAATCAGGTTACATACGAGTCGGTATCTTACATCAGGTTACTATATGTTTTAAATTTTTTATGTAAGTTTGCCCTGAAAGGGACAAATTACCTTTTTTGCATATACCTTTTCAAAGCTAGTGTGTTTATGCTGAAATTTCGAAGAGCGAATTTGGCTTATTTTTAAAAGAAAGTATATAAATATACCTATATCTATTTTTATTTTTCCATTGTGAAAGTATCGAAAACAATTATAAATTTAAAATTGATACCATTAGTACTTTTTGTAGAAATCTAGGTCACATAAATTAAATCACATCATGGTTATTTAAGATGTCTGAGAAAATAAATAGTAAAGTGCTATATGTAGTACTATCCCACTTGAGATTTTAGTCACAGAATCTAAGCTGTCACTCCCGAACAAAGGTGTCAGTCGTAACCTTATCCCCGCAACTTTGATTCTGGTATTTGCTATTTAAATTGATAAAAAAGTAGACATTTATTTCGTTTTAAAAATGACAATTACGGTTTCACAAGTTCTTAATTAAATGTTATTTACTAAGAAAGAACACTATGCCAAAAACATTTGAATAAACAAAATTAAAGGCTGTGAAATAACAGACAGATTGATATGTGAATCTATATTGTAGAATGGATGTACTTAAACTTAGAAATGAAGAAATGATGTTGAATAAATTAATATATATGTACTACCATAAAATTTAAATAATGAAGTGTTAGAAATTATATTTTTAAAGTAAATACTCATACTCAATACATACCATAACGATGAAATTTATATTAAAACAATAAATAGAACTTAAACAACCGACAAACAAATGTCCCAGAGGTGATGACCCAGGACAGAGGACCCGCCGCCACATAAACAAAATTTTATGGTAATATTTTCTATTATTACACATATTCAGTTACGCAAGCCTAAATTTTAAATTGTTAGATACCTAGGTACCACTCCGCCACCAAATAATAGTATAAAGGATCAGATACATCTAGATCCGATGTAAATTATTGCTGGAAAATATATCTCAGAAAATTGTATACACAAAATCACTATTCTGCCAGTACTTTTCCATTAAAGTTATAATAATGATTTGTATTTCATGAAAATGGTGCATTTTCTTGATTGTCTCATCACACAGGAGTTTTTTTATCTTTTTAATAAATATCGAAATTAGTAATCTTATATATGTTATACCATACATAATGTATTTCTTCTCAAAATATTATTTTATTGTACCTGCAATGAAATACTCGAGTAGGTACAGTCAGCAGCACTAACACTGAATGTTAAATGTCGCAATAATACGTTAATTACCTTAATGATAAAAAACGAAAGTACCTTTTTACGTATCCCTGTCCATAACTGTAGGTACTACATAGTAGCCATGAAAATGACATCACATCACACAAGGAGATGGTGACAAAATAAAACGTGGAGGATACAGCTGTCCGCCGCAGCTTCCCTACTCCCATGCCCGTAAATATCAATAAGAGTATCACACATAAGCACGTTTATTTACTTCACGCGTACCTACATTACATTCAAATTATATTTTATTGTACAACTGTAAATTGTAATTGCCAATATATTAACCTTCCCACACGTTTTTTATTTGCAAACAACATCAGTAACATCCACACTTATGTTTGCTAAAATAATATAACAAATTAATGTATTCAATAATCATCCCCTTGAATTTCAAACCACAGTTAAATTATTATCTATCAACAGTTTATGAAATAAATTTAATAATAATCTCAGGACAATTCGCACAGTGCCATCTAGATCCAAGTTAAGCTAGCTAATGCTTGTGTCATGGATACTAAATAACTGATACATAGATATTTTTATTTTTGTAAATAGTATACATAGAAAACTCCCAAACCGATACAAACAATCATACTCATGAATCAAATGTTTGTACCATGCGAGTAATCGAACCCGCGACCAAACTAAACCGCTAGATCATAAATACATATGCAATGGTAAATTGACCTATGAGTAAAATAAATCAAAACTCATAATGGTCCGCGAGCCAGGAACAGGTAAAGTTAACCAACTGACCAAAGGTGTAAATAATTGACGAAAGAAGTTTCTGGCTTGTCGACTATAATGCTGTATCTCACGATATTTGTTGTACTAGTAGCACCTTCCATTGGTTGATATTTAATTTATACTGTAATATATAATATACATGTACGACTGAATAGTTCTAATTTTAACACTCATAATAAACAGTTATTTTTGTGGTCATATAATACTAACTACTTTACTAGAGTACAGACTTAAGAAAGAGTAAGTAGCCTAGATTCTATCTACGTACTTTTTTTCTGAAAAAAAAATTCACTAACTCAATTTTTATTTCTACCTTATTTATGTTAATTTATAATTCAAGCAAATAATTACTTCACAAGCCTTTAGGTAAGTATTTACTCCTATTTAGCCATGAACAGAATATGCAGTAGAAAGCAAAACTTTTTATATCTTTCGTACTGCTTATAAAAGAAGTGTATTATGGGACCCATTAATGCTCTTGGCGAATCCAAGAGCAGTAAACGGTGTTTCCTGCTGTTTAATATCCTTTCGTCAGCTTACGTCGCTATAAATCTCTATAAGACATGTAATCCATAGTTCTAAAATCGTTTGTACGAAGCTAACTAACCATTAACGCAATGTAGAAAACAGAACTTTGCTATTTAAATTATTTTATAGCATAGCAAAGTTCTAGTTGACGAAAGCATCCGTGTAAAGCGTCAGCAATGGGTAGTTTTGTCTAACTATGCATATATACGAGATTATCACCCTATTTTTGATTATCGGTCAATATATTTGAAAGTATCTATTGTTATTATGTATAGCATTATTGAACATAAAAAAATAACCAGAACTACGTTTTATACATATTTTTTCCCGATATTTCGGCACTGTTGCTACGTATGAAAGTAGACAAATATGTCTACGTTCTGTTTCTGTCTGCCCATAAAAGATTTATTAAGTCATGTCGAGCTCCACGTAATCCCCACTGGAAACCATGATGGTTAATTTCTGGTGTATACGCCACGACAGGCTAACTAACCTAGTTTTATTATGCCTCGCCAGAATATTGGTATCGTTAGCGTAGGCAGGTAAACTGTTTAGCCTAATTATTGAATTGAATGAACTTCAACGAAAAAGATTTTTACATCACACTACTTTCACACTCACACACACCAAGTTTTGTTATATAATGCTTAAAACTGACTTTGTATTTTATTGTCCACAGTTTTAAAACCGCCTCTTCATAATGAAATTTTCTACCGTCTACAGTTCCAGTATGGTTATCATGTTAAGCACATTGGCATTAATGTTTGTAACAATCTTAGCAGTACCCGTGGTAAGATTATATTACGTAATAAAAATCTGTAATTGACTATTTAATTTATTTACTTTAATTTATAATCTCTACCTACACCATACATCATAAACTACAACCGTTCAACTAAGCCTCAATGAATTTAAATCTATAATAACATTATCTGAGAAACCGATAACTGGATTATTTCTTTAAGATGTAATTAACACTATCTATCTTCTTTTAAAATATACCTACATAACGTAGATACTATGATTCAGTATTTTATTGTCGAATTTTTATAATTATTCTAATAGTTTAGGTGTTTGGTTGAATGTGGTGCTCAGTGACTTCAATAACGTACGTGCTTATATTAGTAAAAACTCCTAGATAATAGAAAGTACGAGTCAATTAAACGGAGATAGATTATATAAAAAAATCATGAAATAACGTCAACGCGGGTTTTTCAGTCTTACCTACTTATTTCGGCCGCCAAGCAGCTTGCTTTATAAACGCAAGATCACACGATAACGTTATATCTATAGTGCTGTTCATGTAGCTATTCAATGGTTAATACTTAATATGAAGTGGACGTTCAGCTTATTAGTAATTCTAATTCTATAAAAGAATTATGACTTGTATGAATGTCTATAAGTTCATACACACTATAATTAATAGTAGAGAACTGTGAACACACCACTATTCGGATTTACGTAGAAATACGCTTCTTCCGTTTATTTTTTTCTTCTTATTTTTTCTTTACAGGAGTCAGATGATGATCAATCAGAAAATACGCTGGTAGGGCGCCCCGATAATGGTATAGACTTAACAGGACCCTGGGACTCTATTGACACCACTGCTCTGCGTAAATTACTGTTGCAATTGGACGCCGAAGACAGGTACGTACGTTTCTCGTTTAAATTTAAGATAATTCTCTTATATTCAAGGCAATAAAAGGTTTTCACCATGAGAATACAATAAAGAAATTATATCACTATCTTTAGGATATCAATAAATACATAAATATTACTAATATCACTACAATAATCTGTATTATCCATTCTGCTCTAAATATAATAGAAAGTACTACCTGCTAAAATATAAGATTGCGTAACCACTGTATATTTTAAAAAAATAATAACGACTTGTAAAATATATATTATTACACAATACAAGACTATACTACATAAGGCATGGGTTATATGTATATGTATAATATATTAAACAAGGACTTCATAGACACTAGTCGCTACTTATTTTATAAAGATGTGTATTTACATACATGATTTCTCACATTTACTGGAAAATTGTTGATCAAGTTAATCAAGGCTCAGCTTGCTTTGTGATTACATGGTTGCAGGTAGCAGGAACTACTCGTAGTTAGGACGCGTAATTAACTCCATATAGTGCTTTTATTGCTAACAAAACTATGCTCATTCCTATGTACCTATGTAAGTATAGGTACACAAAAGCAGTGACGTCAGTTAAATATATTACCTATTTATCCTTATCGATTACAGAAATTTAGTAATTACTAATCACTGATGTGGTTACGGTCACAGGCATAGTTGTGGAAATCAGCAATTTTGTAATCAACTTGGTCAAGTTGATCCCAAAATACCAATTTTATACTGAAGCTGACCAAAACTGAGTTAGGTCAGACAATAAACTGTCTAAAGTAATAATAAAAGAATTCAACTCAACCTCTAATTAATTTATAGGTATTTTAAATATTTGATCCCAGTGACTTCAATTATATATATCTCTACTACGATTTCATTTCTAAATATATTTTTTGTGTTCTCTATGGTATATTGATAATAACTGAACAGTGTTTACATAAATTCGTGCAGTCTTCTTCTTATACCTGATCTGTTAGATAATGTATCTAATAATTTCAGAATAAAATGAACATTTTGAATTATCCCATGAGATAGCATTATCGGGTCAAATAGTATTCTCAAAGGATATACGATCAATCTGTTTACTAAATTTAATTCCAACCTAATATGTGAGTTTGAGTAACGAACATCGAAATATAATATTGCAATATCTGTCTTTTGAATGGGTAGCATTAAAAATACAGTTTTTCGAGCCTACACACCATGAAGAATAAAAGAATAGTATGAAGGTAACTAGAAAGGTAAATAGAACAAGTTTTAAATAATAATGTAATCATACATACATACAACGTGTTTTTGCAAATAACTAAACCCAGATTCGGTGGAAAGGTTTGAGAGAAATAGAATGTATATAAATATAATTGAAAAGTTAATTAAAATTATTTTGATAAATTAAGTACCTTCTTCATTCAAGTTCAAACCCAAACAAAATATAAATACATTTTGACTAATGAATATTTGTATAGCGAATAATACCCCGTGCAACGTTTTTCCTAACATAATAAAAGGTAAAGCAATTTTGCAGTTTAGATTTGTTGGATATTTACGTACGATGTGAAAACGTTTTAATTAACAGTACTAACCTGTACTACATGTTCAGAACAGTTAGAAGGGTTTTCATGTTACATGACGTACCATTTATTTTATAAAACACGTTTTCAGAAAATGTGTGTCGCAGCTCTCACCACTCTTCGCAGTACAAGTTAATTTCTTCAAGTACAATAGTGCAAACTGAACACATGCCAATTAATACACTTTACTAGTAATTTTTGCCACTTAAGTGGGTACAACAATTGTTTGCACTGTAGGTAAAAGTTTTATCCCGTTATTATTTAAATACATTACTAAATATATTGTGTCTACTTATTGTAGAATTACCTACCGGTATATTTTTTAGTTATACTATATTGTAAGTGCGCGCTAAATATTCTAAACATGTGTTGTAGGTACTTGTACAATTCGAAAAGCTTATTGGTGGAAACACTGTGTTATGTATCTGATTCTTAATTTATTCGCCAGTTACCAATTTTCATTGAGTTGATCCAGTAACCTATCATATTATTAGGCTAAGTATTTGTACTTGTAATTGATTTATCTCCTCCGTTGTAACAATTTTCCTCAATGTTGTGAACTAATTTGTCAGAGACTTAGATATATATATAACCCTCTGTGTATAGTTAACATCCTAAACTCTTATCAAGGTAACAAGGAGCTGTTCGTAACAGTCTATTTATCAATTTATATACACCATGCGAAAATGTTTTTTATAAGATAATAGGTTATGTAATTTAGTTATATTATGTTATCTGTGATATTACCGATAAGTATATGCCGGGTTTCAAACTATAAATTTTCGGGTTTTCTTTAGAAACAGTTCTGTAATTTCACTGAATTGTACATAATTTTTGCATTAATGCAATTATAAAAATTTCTGAAAAAAATAAATAAATATTGTCTAAAATAATAAATGTTTGGTTTTTAAGATAAATTTATAACTATTAAAGAGAATAAATTCGGTATCTAAACTAATATTAAAATGCTCTTTACTATGATACAATTATTCATCTAAAATAGATAATATCCATAACAGAGGTTTGAGCTTCTGACAACCCTATTTCTGATTTTGGATTACAGTCATAACTAGGTTTAATTAGCCTTTTATCTTACTACAGAAAATATCACCAGGAAAATCTGAATACAAAACAATTATTGCATTTATAAAACGTCACGCAACATGTTATTTAGAAAACCGCGCATACCTTTTGCGGCTGTCAAACAAATGAAATAAATCAGATCTACCGCAAACGAAACAGCTTTTTGATTTTCGAAACTGGATCAAGGACTCTACAAATATTTAACATCGATGTCACCGAATGAAGGCAGTAGCCTTCATTCAGTCGATAAGCCGATATCGATGTTTCAAAATAACTTCATACCGCAATTTACCATTTATAATGTCGTTAATTTCTAACTCAAAAATAAACTACCAATTAGTTTTTCTTTTTATAATAAGTAACCCAAGAATTCATAACTTTTAACAAGACTTGATGTTATGCATAAAAATAGTCACAGATATATTTCTTTCTTTATTTAAGATAAGGTGCTCATCACATTTACAGATAATCCAAAGCGTATAGTGAGCCAATAATATAATATAACGAATAATGTAATTACATAAAAAAAACACTCAATAAACTTATTAATATTGTCGTGAAAATATCCACCTCTGGCCGCTCCGAAACCAAGCTACTGAGCAGTGCATGTGCGAACCGGTGTAACATATGTTTTTTTATGTGTCTAGGATGGGTCGAGTTAGCCGTTCGTGGCCTCAGACGGAACCTCGGGGCTGGGGCGTGCGAACACTGGATGGGCGGCTGGCTCGGCAGTGGCGGGCAGACAAGCGCCAGGTCCGGTTCCGCCAGTGCTACTTCAACCCCATCTCATGTTTCCGCAAGTGAACCGTTGACTCAGCATTCCGCAGCGACAAACGACGTACCGCTACAAAAATATACCCAGTTGTAAACATTACTAATTCGTAGCCATTCTTTATAATAATCTCAAGTTATATCAATATCCGATGCAATAAAAAAATATTCCCATACTCTTATTTTTTTTACAGATTTATTATAACGTAAAGTACATGATATAAATCACAAATACTTATGTTTTAATATGTTCCACTGACTTTATTTACTTATTGTATTTTTTATGAATAAGTAAAAAATTATATACTTCTATAATTATGTTATCATTGTTTTACATTTTTAATTTATGTTTTATAGTTTCTACAAATTTACTACATCTACGACAAATCTGTAAATAAAATCGACAGAAACTTCTAGAATACTGAACACTTGTTCAAACCTATTTTCATGTTAACTTATTTAAATTATGAATAATTGTAGTTAGATCTAATTATATCTATAGACATCTTAAACGAATAAGTCTTATCTCACTATTAAATATACAATTGAATTAACCTTTACGTACTACCTACTTATAAATTAGTATACGATTTTAAAATGCAGAAAAAGTATTTTTACGAACCCATAAATTATATTTTATAATAATACATTTATTTTATTATTTGAAACGCCAATATATGTTTATTTAGTCGCTTTTTAGTAATAATTAATGCGTGTTTATAGAATACGTAAGTACCTTATAATCCTACTTATATACATAATATAGCATAGAATAACTTCTTAGAAATGTATATTACCCTAATCATGAATAATTATTTATTAGTACATTTATTACCTACTAGTAAATCTCCATACCTTTCCTTATATTCCTTAGTTAATTCCTAATACTTGTTACTAGTATTTTTTACATATATAAAAACATTCTTATACGAATATGTACCCTTATTAGGAAAAGTAGTTATAAAACACTGGTTAAATATTTTATATAGGTATACATGAAATATGTGTAGTTCAATAAGTGTAACTAATTACCAGATCTTATCAGTGAATTAAATTTACTGTTGTCTAATTCTAAGTGTTTTATTTCGTTAACTGTCCGGATTAGCTGGTTTGAGATAGGTTGCTGCGGATTTGTAAACGTCCACAAAATTATAGGAAATTATTAAGAATCCATCTGCAAATGACAACAGTTTAATGAAATTTATCTTAATAGGTGAAGATAATACAAGCTGTGTGTGATGTGAAATCAGAGACAATATATATATATACTTCATATTTATATAATATATACTTCATATAGTATATACTTCATCTCTTATAACAAATTTCATTGAAATGCTTGTACTCAAATCGAATAACAATTATCTTTTTTATAAGGAGTAACTGTAATAATTGTATTTCTATCTATATTTAGGCTTTCGATTAAGAACCTTTGTTCTTAATATGTGCGTATTATTCCTAAAAAGTCTACCTCTTATTTAGTAAAACTACCTTTTGCGATTTAGGTAAACCAATCCTATACGACTTTCTTAGTACCGAGTAAAAATATTGTGTTCAAGATTTTTTTTTAGTACATTTATTACTTTTACTAATAATTTTTTTAAGATTTATCACGTGAGGTAGATGATGAAAGTTTGCGGCAAAATATTAATAAAATAGAAAATATTTTAATAGTTGTCGAAGGATAGGATGGAATGCTTATAGTGTTGATCAATAAAAATATAATTTCCATTTAGGTATAGATAACATTTACCTAGTTAACCATTTCTTACATATGTATATAAATATTTTATTTATTTAGAATGTTATTTTACCAGTTCCAGTATTCTAGCTAGATATAAAGTGTAGTAGGTATCTAGATTGTAGAGTCTATAGTAAACGTACGAGCAAACTCTAACGAAAACACGTTGGGGCTTTCATTAGTCGACAGAAAAAAGACATAGAAATGACAGAGTAAATATATTAAGGGACTAAAGAAACATTTAAGCAGTCAATAAAAAGAAAAGGTAATGTACTACATAAATCCGGTAAGAAATACAAAAGGTAAAACTATTTTTTATTTAGAATGGCAAATGATGGACCACCCCGACGTCATAAGACGCCCATGATACCACTAATGGGTTGTCATTCCGGACGATTAAAACATGACTTAATACCCTGTAAATTTACTACGGTATCCTTACCTTCCAACCAACTATGTGACTATTTTTATAACCTTACAAAGCTAGTCACTTAGCCTCTGAAATAGACAGAGGTTGAAGGTTTCTGTAAAGCGAGTGTGACACTCCTGGTGTTTCGGCCGTCCATAAACTACGATAAACGTTCCCAGTCAGATGTCCCGTATACTTGTTTATTACTATAGTGGTAAAAAAAAGTTACGCATGCAAATGACTTCATACAAAGTTTTGAATTATAGATTCATATACAATTAGTATAAAATTTATGTTAAACTTATAAACGTAAATATAAGTGTTAAGTACCTACATGTAACAAGTAAATAAATTTAATTACCTATATATTAATAGCTATGTATATTTAGTAATGCTATATTGACACCATATTTACTGAAATAATACCTACTACTTTATTGAAAATTGGGACCATTGTTATTTTCATATACCCAATAAGTAGGAACATGGTTCCTCGTATCAAGCAGGGCTGGACATTATTTGAATCAAGGAAACATGCGAAAAACATCCACTGCCACTGAGGAAAGTAATTAAAAAAGTGACAAGGACATTTCTCAGTACTTTATTTCTAACGAAATTCCGAGATCCTATCAACTTAAGCGTGTGGTGTCGCTGTAAGAATAGCACCACCCCCTCTCTTCCCGTGGGTGTCGTAAAAGGCGACTAAGGGATTCATCGACCAGTGGACGGGCAGCAGCGTCCTACTGAGTACCTACCATCATACTGCGATCGCCAACCCGCATGCCAAGCGTGGCGATTATGGCAATATCCCCCCAAATGAATTTACACCCAAGGCCCCGGCCCCCAGTCCCCGGCGGCCCCGCTAGTCTTGACCATGGTAGCGGTCATGGAAACGGCGGGGCAGGGGGTGCGAAGAATCTCCGGGTAAGACCAGGCTACCACAAACGACGACCACTGGCGCTGGCTACATACAACGTTCAAACACTGCGGACCAACGAAAAGTTAATTGAACTGGAGGAAGAGTTGAGCAGATTGCACTGGCATGTCGTGGGATTATCTGAAGTCCGAAGAAAGGGGGAGGACTCGATAGTCCTGAAATCCGGCAATCTGCTTTACTTCCGGGAGGGCGATCAACTGTCCCAAGGCGGTGTCGGGTTCCTCGTCCACAGGTCCCTTGTGAATAATGTTATCAAGGTCGAGAGCGTGTCGACTAGGGTAGCGTACCTGATACTCAGAATTACCAAACGGTATTCATTGAAGGTCATCCAAGTGTACGCTCCAACTTCGACGCACTCCGACGATGAGGTTGAGGCTATGTATGAGGATATCTCCAGAGCCATACATAGTACAAAGACTCATTATAACGTTGTCATGGGGGACTTTAACGCAAAATTGAGCAAACGAAGCGGTGATGAGCTGAGAGTGGGGCAATTTGGTATCGGTGATCGGAACTTCCGAGGTCAAATGCTGGCCGACTTCATGGAGAAGGAGAACCTCTTTATGATGAACTCCTTCTTCAGGAAGCCGGAACACCGGAAATGGACGTGGATTAGTCCCGATGGTGCCACAAAAAACGAGATAGATTTCATCTTGTCAACGAGAAGACAGATTTTCAATGATGTCTCTGTGATCAATGCCGTCAAAATTGGAAGTGATCACCGGATTGTAAGAGGCACATTGAATCTGAATCTGAAACTCGAACGATCCCGACTGATGAAATCTACGCTCCGCCCTACACCTATACAGATCCAAAACCTCGAAAGCTTTCAGCTAGAATTGCAAAACCGTTTCGAAAGCCTTGGTGACTGCGTTGACGTGGACGATTACAACAACAGGTTCGTGGAAACTGTCCGTGCGGCTGGGTCTAAGCACTTCAAAACCCGCCGCGCAGAAAGAACCGGAAAAATATCTATCTCTACCCTCAAATTGATGGATGAAAGGCGAAGTATGGTCCTGCAGTCTCCGACTGACGCTTCTCAGTATCGGCAACTTAGCAGGCAGATCTCTAAGTCCTTGACTCGTGACTTACGCCACTTTAACACAAGTTGTGTAAAGGAGGCTATTGAGAGAAACAAGGGCTCAAAAGTCTTTAACAGGGATCTGGCTGCCGGACAGAGCCAGCTGACGCGACTTAAGACGGATGACGGCAGGATCGTTTCGTCTAAACCCGAACTTTTGAGGGAAATTGAGAAGTTCTATGGACAGTTATACACGACAACACGGGCACCTGTTAACAACACGGCGAAAGACCCTAGAGCCAAATTAACCCGACACTATACCGAAGATATCCCGGACGTCAGCCTGTACGAGATTGGTATGGCTCTTAAACAACTTAAAAACAACAAGGCGCCGGGCGATGATGGAGTTACTGCTGAGCTTCTGAGGGCTGGAGGTAGACCTGTTCTACGAATCCTCCAGAAGCTATTCAACTCCGTCATCCTCGAGGGCAAAACGCCTCAAGCATGGCAAAGGGGTGTGGTGGTTCTGTTCTTCAAGAAGGGAGACAAATCGCTTCTGAAGAATTTCAGAACCGTAACACTGCTGAGCCATGTTTATAAGTTGTTTTCGAGAGTCATCACGAATCGTCTCGCGCGCAGGTTTGACGACTTCCAGCCTCCCGAACAAGCCGGGTTCCGAAAAGGCTTCAGTACCATAGACCACATTCATACGCTGCGGCAGGTAATTCAGAAGACCGAAGAATACAACCTGCCACTTTGCTTGGCGTTTGTGGACTATGAAAAAGCCTTTGATTCGATCGAGACGTGGGCTGTGCTACAGTCTCTCCAGCGGTGCCAAATTGACTATCGATATATCGAAGCGTTGAAATGTTTGTATGAAAACGCCACTATGTCAGTTCGCCTCCACGACCAGAATTCGAAGCCTATCCAACTGCAGCGAGGTGTCAGACAAGGCGATGTCATATCGCCAAAGCTGTTTACCGCTGCGTTGGAAGATGTCTTCAAGCTTCTGGACTGGAGCGGGCTGGGCATCAACATTAACGGCGAGTACATCAATCACC